TTCCTTTTTATTTTGTTGATGGTTTCTTTTGCTGTGCAGAAGCTTTTTATAATAGTTTGATAATAGTCCCATTTGTTAATTTTTTCCTTTGCCTTAGGAGATGTATCGTGAACATATTGCTATGAGAGATTTCTGAGATTTTGCTGCCTATGGTTCTTCTAGGATGTTTATGGTTTCACAACTTACATTTAAGTCTTTTATCCATTTTGAGTTTATTCTTTTGTATGTTGTAAGTTGGTAGTCTATTTTTCTTTTTTGCATGTATCTGTCCAATTTTCCCAACTCCATTTTTTTTTGTAGAGATTGTCTTTATTGTATGCTCTTGCTTCCTTTATCAAATATTAATTGAGCATAATGGCTTGGGTCGATTTCTGGGTTCTTTGTTTTGTTCCATTGATCTATATGCTTGGTCTTGTGCCAGAATCAGTCTGTTTTGATTACAGTGGCTTTGTAATACAGTTTGATATCTAGTATTTTGATCCCTCCAATTTTTTTCTTCTTTCTCAAGACTAATGAGGCTATTCAGTGTTTTTTTTGTTGTTGTTGTTTGTTTTTTTAAAATATATATTTTTGGAATATTTGTTCTAGATCTGTGAAATATTCTCTTGGTATTTTAATAGGAATTGCGTTGAGTCTAAAGTTTGTTTTGGGTAGTTTGGACATTTTAATGATGATAAGTCTTCCAGTGCATGAACATGGTATATGCTTCCAGTTGTTTGTATCATCCTCTATTTTTTTTGTTTTATAGTGTCATATAGTTTTCCAAATATAGTCTTTTACCTCCTTAATTAGGTTTATTCCTAGATACTTTATTGTGTTCTTTTTTCCCCCAGTGGTATATGGGATTTTTTTTTTTTTAGTTTCCGTTTCTGAGAGAGTTAATTATTGGTATATAAAATGCCATCAATTTCTCTGTGTTAATTTGTATGCTGCTTTCCAAATTCATTTATTAAATCTGCTAGTATTTTGATGGGGTCTTTAGTGTGTTTTATTTTTTTTGGACAGTATCATATCATCTGTGAATAATGAGTTTTAATTTCTCCTTTCCAGTTTGGATACCTTTTATGTTTTCTTCTTGTCTGATTGCTGTGGCTAGGACTTTCAGTACTATCTATATTATAAAAACCTAGTGATCATAATGCCATAATGACCAAAGACTGGCGCAGGTGGGTGGAGTCATGCATTTTTTTGCGCTGGGCTTCTAGTCTTGAATAAGAGTGGTGAAAACAGATTATTATTGACTTTAATGACAGTGCTTTTCATCAGTGTCCTGATATTTATTCTATGTATTATAGTTTTCAAAAGTCGAATTAAAGAGGTATCACCTATTCCTCACTTGCTGAATTTTATTCTCATTCCATGTTGAATTTTATCAAATGATTTGTTGGTCTGTGGAGAGACAATGTTGTTTTGTTAATGTAAAGGATTACAGTGAGATTTCCTAAAGACAGACTTTCTTAACATTTCTGCTTCCCCCCGTTATTTATTAATACATTAATGGATTTGATTGTTAATGTTTTAGTTAATATATTTTTAAGTGAGATAGGTTTATGGTTTTCTTTCATTAAATTCTTCTTTGCTTTTGTTTTGGAATTAGGCCAGCCTTATAAACTGTGTTGAAGCAGTTTAAATGTTTTTTTGTTTGTTTGTTTGTTTGTTTTTAATTGGAAAAGCTTTAAATTTGAATTACTTTAACAGGAACAAGTTGCTCCCTAAAGATTTAGTAGAGTTTGAACTGAACCTGGGACCTTTCAGTCCTCAGGCGGACACTCTGTCCACTGAGCCAAACCAGTTTTGGCCTTCTTCCTCTTCTTAAAGAATATCTTTCAGCATTTCATATAATACTAATTCGGTGGTGAACTCCTTTAGCTTTTTCTTATCTGTGAAGCTATTTATCTGACCTTCAATTCTGAATGATAGCTTTGCTGGATAGAGTAATCTTGATTGTAGGTTCTTGCTATTCATCACTTTAAATATTTCTTGCCACTACCTTCTGGCCTGCATAGGTTCTGTTGAGAAATCAGATGACAGTCGTATGGGTACTCCCTTGTAGGTAATTAACTGTTTTTCTCTTGCTGCTTATAATATTTTTTTTATTTATTTACTTATTTTTTATATATATATTTTATTGATTTTACACAGAGAGGAATTGAGAGGGATAGAGAGTTAGAAACATTGATGAGGGAGAAACATCGACCAGTTGCCTCTTGCTCACTCCCCACTGGGGATGTGCCCGCAACCAAGGTACATGTCCTTGACCGGAATCGAACCCGGGACCTATCAGTCCACAGGCCGACGCTCTATCCACTGAGTCAAACCGGTTTCGGCTGCTTTTAATATTCTTTATCTTTTGCTCTTGGCATTTTAATTATGATGTGTCTTGGTGTGGTCCTCTTTGGATTTTTTTTTGTTTGGGATTCTCTGTGCTTCCTGGACTTGTAGGTCTATTTCTTTCACCAGGTGGGAGAAGTTTTCTGTCATTATTTCTTCAAATAGGTTTTCAGTATCTTGCTCTCTCTCTTCTGGCATCTCCATAATTCAGATGTTGATATGTTTGAGGTTTTCCCAGAGGCTCCTTACACTATCTTCAAATTTTTGGGTTCTTTTTTCTTTTTGCTGCTTTATGGTTGAGTGTTTTTTGCTTCTTTATATTTCAAATCTTTTACTTGATTCGTGCGGTCCTCTAGTCTGCTGTTGGGTCTCTGTATAATATTTTTTATTTCAATCAGTGTATGTTTAGTTTCTAGTTTGTCCTTTTTCATATCCTCAAGGTCTCACTAAATTTATCGGCTTTTTCCAGGAAATTCTTGAAGAATCTTATAACTGTGGTTTTGAATTCTATATCCAGTAGTTTGCTTTCCTCCATTTCTTTCATTTGTGATCTGTTTCTTTGACTCTGCATTTTTGCTGCTTCCTTGAGTTGGTAGAGTAGCTTTGTGTATTAGATGTCCTGTATGCCCAGTGGCTCATCCTTCCCCAGTTACCTGAGGTAGACACTTTTTGTGCACCCCTTTGTAGATTGTGTACACAGCCTTGTTGTAGTTAAGCCTTGGTTGTTGTTGGTATCACTGGGAGAAATTGACTTCCAGGCCAATTGGCTGTGAGGATTAGCTGTGTCTGGGCTGGGAGAACTTCTGTGCTGGAGACACTCTTTATGGGGGAATACTTGCAAAAGCCTCTGTACTCAGCTTGGATGGGGCGGAGTCTCAGGGCAGAGCAGACAGCCTTGGCTTCCCATCAGCCCTGCCCTATGAGGCCCCTGGGTCTCAGTGTCCCTCAGTAATCACTGCAAGCACCTCTGAGAGAAAGCCACCCTAAAGTTTCACCCAGAAAATCACCCGTAACGAGTTTAGCGCAGTTGGAAGCTTTCGTCTCCCTCCCTCTTTAGAAAGCCTGCCGCGCACTCAGCCGCCGGTGCAGTCAGTCACCCATCCTCTCCACACATGCGTGACTCTGTACCTCAGCCTTTTGCAGCTCCTCTGAGTCTCAGTGTGCTTTCCTCTTTCCTTCTAGTTGTAGAATTTCCATTCAGCCAGCTTTCCTGTGGTTCTGGATGGTGTCCGTTTTGTCTTTTAGTTGTAGTTTTGGTATTGTTGCGCGAGGCAGCAATTTAGGTGTTTACCTATGCTGCCATCTTGGTTTCTCCCCAAAGGCAGTTTTGTCCCCAGGGGACATTTGGCAATGTATGAATAATTTTTAGTTGTGGGGTGTAAACAGTGGGGTCTCGGGGGGAAGTCACTATCATGTAGACTAGAGGTGGGGAACGTTGGCCTGTGGATCCTGTAAGGCCCTCAAAATCATTTAGTCTGGTTCTGCCAGGGTGCCAAGGTGTTAGGGGTGAGTTAATTACACTTGATCTTAGCCAAAAGGCCAAGGAGGGGGGGGTGAGTTAATTAAATGTTTGACCAACTATGACAAGCCAATTTTTTTTTTTTTTATTGTCTAAAGTTTATATATGTCTCCTTTTTCTCCTATTGACCCCTGCCATTCCCACCCCAGGTAAGCCCCCATTGCCCCATTGGTTATGCTAATATGCAGGCATTCAAGTCCTTTTGTTGCTCTCTAATCCCCCCTCTCCCCTTACCATTTGTCTTTGGATCTATTCTTGTTCATCAAATTAGGTTGATCATTATATCCACATATGAGTGAGATCATGTGATATTTACCTTTCTCCAATTGGTTATTTTGCTTAATATAATGCTCTTCAGTTCCATCCATGTTGTTGCAAATGGGGCAGGCTAATTTTTAAGTTAGTAATTTTGTATGGCTCGTGAATGGTGTTATAAATATCCAAATAGCCCTTGGCAGAAAAAATGTTCCCCATCCTTGATCTAGAGGCTAGAGGCCAGAGATGCTAGTAAACATTGTGCATTGCACAGGATAGTCTTCCATAGCAAATAATGATCTGTCCCAAAATGCTAGTGGTACTGAGTTTGAGATACCCTCTCATAAAAGGGATGATTATACACAAATATGAATACACAATATAAAAAGATGTTCTCGATGAATGCGTTTTTCCAGCTACTAGAATTCTAACAATCCAGTTTACAATGTCCTTATGCAAAATATATGAATATTCTGCTTAAAAAAAAATATATATATATATGTATTTTATTGATTTTTTTCAGAAAGGAAGAGAGAGAGGATAGAGAGAAACATCAATGAGAGAGAAACATTGATCAGCTGCCTCCTGCACACCCCCTTCTGGGGATGTGCCCTCAACCAAGATACATGCCCTTGACCAAAATCGAACCTGGGACCCCCCAGTCCACAGCCCATACTCCATTCACTGAGCTAAATTGGCCAGGGCTCTCTGGATCTTTAATTTCTTTCAAACTAGGGATATTGAAACTGTTAGATTGTTACTTCTTGAAAAGGAACTTCCTGTATAGGTTTTAAAATGAATTTTAATATGTATCTTTATAAATCTCCTGTTTAATTTAATTTTAACTTATAAATGATACGGTAGTTTAAACATGAATACTTCAAATTTTTCACAGGCAACGACACCTCCAAATCAAGGACGTCCAGATTCTCCCGTTTATGCTAATCTACAAGAGCTGAAAATATCCCAGTCTACTCTCCCCCCGCTTCCTGGGAGCCCAGCAATTCAGATTAATGGAGAATGGGAAACTCATAAAGATACTTCAGGGCGAAGTTATTACTATAACAGAGGAACACAGGAAAGAACTTGGAAACCCCCTCGATGGACTCGGGATACAAGCATTAGCAAAGATGTCCAAAATCCAGGAGATCAAGAGGTATGAGTAATCACGGAGTTCACCAGTGAGTTACAAAACTTTCTTTTTTCTTTTTTAATCATTCAGAGACAAAAGGAGTGAATAGGTTTGTGTCTTGGTATTGAAATGGTAGTATACTTGAAATGGTAGTATACTTGAAATACCAAAACTTCTTTGCAAGTTTTATTTTGTTATTGCTAGTTACTGTCTAATCTCTAACTAGTAGACAGTAGCTAACCTTGTAGTGTGTTTATTAATTGCAGAATTAACTGGATTAAAATTGCCTAGTGCCAATGGTTTCCCTCATGTGCTCATGTGCTAGATGGTAGATAGTTCAATCACTGTTATTGCCCATGCATTGACTTTTTTTTTTTTTTTTAAGAAAAGGAAGGAAAAAATATGATATGGCTTAGTCAAATACACAAAAACAGATATTTAACTGATTAAAATGGATACTTTGTTTGGTATGCTACCAGGATACTTCTCAGTTTCTGACTGTTAGAGGTACAAGATTACCTTTTTAAAAAAAATATATTTTATTGATTTTGTACAGAGAGGAAGGGAGAGATAGAGAGTTAGAAACATCGATGAGAGAGAGTCATCGATCAGCTGTCTCTTGCACACCTCCTACTGGGGATGTGCCCGCAACCAAGGTACATGCCCTTGACCGGAATCGAACCCGGGACCCTTCAGTTCCTGAACCGATGCTCTATCCATTGAGCCAAACTGGTTTCGGCCATGATTACTTTTTATAATCTAATGTGTCTGCTACAAATGAGCCATCCAGTAAGTCTGACAATTTATTTCAAAATTATTATTTTCTCTAACAGGTATTTATACTATCTTCCCTCTGCACCCTTGATTTCACCTTTCCACAATTCTTAAAGGGTGGTGCACTGAATTGGCCAGCTGTATTTTAAGAAATACTTACCTCAGAAATTTGTAGAGATTCCTTGGGGCTGTCTCGATATGCAGGAAAAGCTTCAGTAGGATTGATAAAAGGGTGTTAAATCCTGCTGCTCAATAAACTGGGGTCCTTTACTTGCATAGGACACCCTACCCTTACAAAAAGCGGATGGCTTGTACAATAAAAACAGAACTTCAGGAGCTGAACAAATCAGATAACACTTCTTGTATTTATCAGAATCTAGAAGCTTTTTGTAGTTAATAACCCCTCCTCTTGTCCTGTTTTTTAGTTGGTTATTAATAGCTCTGGTTTGGTGGTAAATTGTACTTTTAGTGTTCAAGAATGAGAATAGAATAGTGAGAGAAATTGTTTCTGATTATTGTAATAAAAAATGTTAGGAAAACTATTTGAATTGTAGACCTAGAAAAATTTGAAAATAAATTACCCTGTGTATGAACAATAAAGTAAAACCTTATAATTTAGGAGAATTGGGGAAAGGGCTAAATTATAGAATAATTTAAAGGAATTTTAAAGTACACACAGGAACTTTTAACAACATGTTTTTTAACTTTAAATTTCATGAAATAAAAGAGTGTTTTGTATATCCGGATCTCAGCTTACAAATTGTATAAAAATAGGTCTTTTCAAAGTGGCTGGGTCACATCTTCTAGTTTTTGGGAAAGATTGTGTATGGGAGGCAAAATTGAGTGTTAAAATGTCTATATTCTGCTCTCATATTTAATTGCTAGTTTGCCTAAATATAGAATTCTGGTTGGAAATCATTCCCCCCCCTCACATTTGCAAGGCATTTTGAACTTTATGGCAGGTGAAATCATCTGCTTATTGGGGAGTCCCGAGTTTCCATAGAAGTCTTAAAATCTTCTATCTAGAAAGTCAGGGCTGCCAGGATCTTGGTAGTTAGCATTCAATTTGCATGTAATCCTTTAGTCTTCCCTCTTCCTGTTGGTACCTATGTCCTAATTATGTAGTCTTCCAACTAAGAATCTTACTGTTTTTCTCTCTTGAGAGGGAATAAATACTTATACTTCTGCTGAAATAAGTAAGGAAGAGGTGTACTCCCAGCAGCCAGTTATTCCTCCTGCTTTCAACCCCAGTTCCAGGAATACCGTCAGTTCCTGAGCTATTTGAAGATCCTACTCCTACCAGTTTAGATTCTGCTTTCTTGTTCATCTGTGTCTCAACTTTCAGAGTTTTGTGACTGTTGACTCTTCACCATTTTTCCTCTTCTTGTGGGTTTAGGACTTTTAAAGGTATGTCACCATTTTTATTTTATTGGGGTTTGATACAGAGCAAGTGTTCCATCTTAAGAGACATTATTTTAGTTGTCACTCTAGAACAAAAGTTCTCAACTAGGGATAGTTCTGCTCAGGGAGGGGTGGGAGATGAGGGGTTAGACCATGTGGAGTCAATTTTGTTTGTTACAGGTGGGAGACTGCTACTGGCCTCTAGTGGTTGGAGACCAGAGATGCTGTTGAACAGCTTATGATACACAAGAAAACTGTCACAAAGGGTTATATCTGGTCTTAAATGTCAGTAGTGCTGCTTTTGCTTCTTGCTCCTCAAAGCCGTGCAAGGACTATACATGTTGTGCTATTGTTGCCTAATATTTTATTTTATTGTTGTCTTTATTCTTGTTGTTCATGATGACTCTTAAAATTAATCCTCATATTTACTACCACTTTTATCACATTTTTAATGCAGATTAGATTATCTGGATAACTTTTCTACCATCTTAAGTACATACTTTTATTTTATTTTTGTCCTTTTTCAAATCTTTATTTTAAATTTCAAAATTACAAGCCAGCAATTCTTCCCAGCACAAATAACACTTGTGGTTTTTTTTTTAAAATACAAATCTTACAATTCCTCGGCTCCCTCTCAACTAGTCAAAACAATCCCCACCCCTCATCCTCCAATTACCTTTATTGCAAACAAGCCATCCACCTAAACAAAACATACAAACCTACCTAAACCCTAAGTAGATTAATAACAAATTAACAGAACAAAATATAAGTACATTCTTATAATTACAGAGATGAGATAGTTTTTTGCTGTCCTTGCATGACTGGTTAAGGAAAAATGAACTATTCCCTAATTTTTAAGGAATCCAAATTCTGTCTCACATAAAATTAGAATAGAAAGGGGCAAGGGCTGCAGATGAGGAGTAAGAGAGAAGAAAAGAGAAAAGTATTTACAGAAAATAGGAGACAGGCGGGAGTATCCACAAGAAAAGCTTCATTGTCACTTCTTGCCGGCCCTCTGGGCACTGGACTTGGCTTTGGGCTTCACCAGTTTCTGCCGTTAAAGCAACATTTTACTGATGACTTTTTGTTTTCCATTTGTCTTTCGTTCAGTTGATGTGGCACCTATTTTCCTTCCTTTAAAATCTTTCCCATTGCTTGTAAGTGATTGGACATTGTTTGCTGAGCAACGTTTAATCTTTCTGCAAGTTGTTTTTGAGTTTGATACGCATCTTCATCCAGTAATACTTCTAATTATTGGTCTTCATACTTTTTCGGTTGACCTGGATGTTCTTTGTCTTTCACATTGAAATCATCACTTTTAAAGAGTTTAAACCAGCATTCACAAGTATCTTAAGATAGAGCATGTTCACCATAAACTTCCTGAAGTATATGATAACTTTCAGCAGCACTTTTCTTCAAAATAATGAATTAAAACTTCCAACAAATGCTCTTTTTTTGGCACAAAATTCGAGATTTTTAAGTGTAAAAATATCTATGATGTTAACACCTTCAGCAAATTTGAGATAGGAAGTTTTGAAGCTTGTTATCAACACAAGAAAATAGCATACATATCAAATCACATATGTATCAACATATGTGTAACTCCATCTATTTGAAAAAATCTGCATTATTAACAGGTACACTTAATATTTGTTTGGTGAAGCTTCCCCTCTTATTAATTTGAAAAGTTTGAAACCTACAATAAACTAGAAAGAACAATACAATGATAATTCATATACCAGACTATTAAGTATTTCTCTCTTTACCGTGTCCAGTGTGGCTTGAGTGCACAGAGTCCTGTGTAGAGGTGGTGGGGGATTGAGAAAATGAAAGAGACAGATGCAGAAAAAGTAGGGAAAGCTGGAATGGTTTGGGACAGCTGTCTTCTGATGGAGAGACAGTGACCCAGAGCCGGTGCAGCACTTTCATTATATACAGTATAATTCCAGGAAGTTTATTAGAGTTTAAAACAAAGGAAGTTATGTGAAATCATGATTAAAGAATAAGCTGTAATTTTTCATTCTTTGTGGCTTCTTTGTAATCGTTATTCCTGGCTAAGCCCAGATAATTGTGTTCGTTCCTTGCGCCTGGCTGAAGTTAGATAATGAAACCCACCCCCTGGTACCTGAGCTAAGGATGTACCTTCCTCTGGCATGGTACATCTCTAGGACGTGGCTCTGCGAACGCAACTGGATTCAGCTGACAATAATTAAAGAAATGCTCATGGTGCCTTCCCAGGTGCTCTCTACACCAGAAGTTTCATATAAAGTTACCAACAATTAATATTTTGTCACATTTGTTTTATTTCTCTCTTCTTCCCTTCAACCTCCAGTAACTTTTTTCTGGACCATTTGGAACAGACAACATAATTATTCTCTTAACTATATGGACATTTTCTAGCAAAACCATTTTTTGGGGTAAAAATAGATTTATCATAGAAAAAAGTTAATGCTGATATATTATTTAGTATACAGTTAATACTCCATGATGTTCACTTGTCCAATAATATCTTATGAATTTTTTTCCCCCAACAATGAAGGGTCTATTATTTATTTGTTACTATCCAGTGAAGGGTCTATTGTTTGTTATCATTTTTTAGTCCCATAATTTATTTTTGATAATTTCAGTAAATAGTATATATGCACCATATGATCTTTATCCAATCCTCCATCGATGGACACTTTGGTTGTCTCAACATCTTGGCTACCATGAACAATGCTGGGATGAATTCAGGGGTGCAAATAAATGTTTTCAAATTTTTTTGGTAGATACTCAAAAGAGGGATTGCTGGGTTATATGGTAAGTTCATTCTTAAGTTTTTTACGAATTGCCAAACTGTACCGTTTAAA